CCCCCGGAGGCCAGCGTTGGCGCGCGCCCCCGGCCGAGGGCCCCCTGCTCGCGCCTCAACTCCCTCCCCTTTTCCGGGCAGCCCCGTCCTGTCAGCGAGGCAGTGAGCCCCGCGGCCAGCAGAGGGCGGTCGGGACCCGAGTCTGCAGCGGCGCCATTGGCGTGTGGAAAATGCCACCAGATGGCGGGTTAGGATTGCAGCTCCGTTGAAGGCGCGGCCCCCGCTCCCGAACCCCCGGCGACCACCCCGTAACAACCCCCCCACATCGGGAATAACACACCGGAGACTTTTGGGGGGAAACTAGGTCGACGGCCGACAGCGCCCGGATGGGCAGCTGAGGTGAGCGCGAGCGGCGGCGGCGGCGGCGGCGTCACATGACAACGAGCTCGCCTCCGCCGAGGGTCCTGGGGGGTCGCTCAGCCTGACTGCTGGCCCAGGCCTCTGGTTGCTGGGGTGGGGCAGTGGGCTGACGACCTGGGCAGACGGGGCGTCGCAGCCCGGCTTTCCCGCTATCCGCCGTCTCAGCTCCCGCCGGGGGGCCTCCCGGTGAAACGTGTCCAGGCCCGAGCTCTGCCCCGCTAGTTTCCCAATCCCCCGGGAGATGAGGCCAATAAAAGTTGTTTTTCCTCCTCTCTGAAGGTGGGGGGCGGGGTGAAGAGCCGGGACACCCGAGTGTTTGGAGTTCGACCTGAGCCCCACTTGGAGGGGTCTGAACTGGGTGCTGTTTGTGTGCAGGAGGGACCACAACCTTTTCTGGTTCTCGGATTGTCACGTCACCCGCTTCTGCCCACGTTCGAATTGTTACTGATTCTTTCCACATTGCAGGCAGTCGTGCCCTGGGAGAGTGAAGTCCTGGGATGGTTTTGGAACCCCTTATAGACCCCAAACAGTGCAGTTTGTGGTAGTGAATTTTCTGCTGTTGAAGTTGATGTTGAGATGAGGGATGTGTTTATTCTTTCCTGGTTGTGCTTAGAAACGACTGTAATTTACATCTCAGCAAAAGTAGTGTTTGTGAAAGTACCTAAATCCGCATAAAGTTGTATGATTTGTAACTTAATGGAATTTGTAACTTTACCTTTAGATTTTCCTGTGTATTTTTTTTATAAAAATGGCAAATTCTGATGGTGAAGCTCTTATGAAAATGTACAGAACAGTGAGAATAAAAACAATTCGTTTATTGTATGATGAATGATGGTCTCATAATGTATATAAGTCAAGGCCAAAAATTTGATCAAGAAATACTGAAAGAATCAGGAATGTTATTTCATTGTTTTTCATTATGGGGAATGTAACGCATTTTTTCTTTCTTGTTTACCCAAATAAACTCATAAAAACCCACAGGTGTTTTGCTAGTTTGTTCTTAGCATTTTAAAATTGTACTTGGAGTTCTGTGTGGTGGTCTATGCCTGTAATTCTTCTTACTCTGGAGACAGGCATGGACATCTTAGGAGATACTGAAACAAAACAAGTAGAGATCTAGTGTTGTCTTTTTTGAAGAGATTACTGTGGTGTGGCCATCCTCCCCGCCCCCATAGGATCTCGCTGTGTAGCCCAGACTGGCCTTGAATTCACTATGCAGTCCAAAGTGGCCTTTAATTTAGGGCAGTTCTTTTCTTCAGCCTATGGAGTTAAGAGATTACAGGTGGGTGCCAGGCCAGGTAACTACTGAATGTCTCTTTTTTTCTTTTTTTCCAGAAAGGATCTTGGTATGTAGCTCAGGATTGCTCTGAATTTATGGCAGTTCTTCTGCCCCAGATTTTCAAATGCTGGGATTACAGCCACATTTGTCGATGAAGGGCTCTTTTAAAAACTTAAGAAAGCTGTGTTGCAGGGGAGAGATCTATGGTGATATTTTATTTGTACTGAAATGTGATTTTAATTGTATGTTAATAAATAAAGTTGCCCTGGGGTCAGAGCTATTAGAGCCATAGCAAGAGCGTGGTGGTTAGAAGAGCTAGGTAGATTTCTGTGTGTTCAGGGATACAGCCAGTATTGGAGACATACCCTTTAAGACCTGGAGGGCGGTACTTACAGGCAGTGACGAGGCAGTCATGTGTTTGGGTTTACAACCAATGAGAAGGCAGAACAGAAAGACTATTTAAAGACAGACAAACTGGAAGTAGCTCTCTCTGGGGGAAGCTAGGAGCACTGCAGGAGGTAAGATTTTAGCTCTGCGCTCTGATCTCTCGGCTTTCTCTTTTGCATTGGCTCTGTGTTTCTTATTTTAATAAGATGATTGGTTACATCTACAGAGATCCTTGAACAGAAGTTTCTTGAGACATCCTCTAGGTTTGTGATCTGGGTTTTAGTTTTTAACTATTTCAATCTTAACCATCCTTATTTTTAAAGTTGGGGTAATATGGCGGTTCTTCTACAAACTGAAAAAGCCCTTTTTAGCTAAAACTTTAAAAAAAAATAGTTACCTCTTTTCCTTGCTTGATTCTAGACAAGTATGTCTTAATAATCTCAGTACTATAGGAGATTTAATGCATTCTTGTTAGCTTTTGGCCAAAGCCTGTAATCTTTTATATATATAAAGTCTTTTTTTTCTTTTTTTTAAACGGCATACCTAACCTCAGGAGGGGGTAAACTGGAGGGGGTGCACTCTTCCTGGAAGTACTGCTATACCAGGTCAATGCGTGGAATGGACAGAGCAAGCTCCTATCCTTAATAGCAGCAGTTCACAAAATGGCTACTACAGGAATCAGTCTTTCCGACTTTTGTCTCTAATTTCTGTAGATTTTATGACCTCTTTCAAAAGTTAACCTGATGAGGTCAGGTCCACCCAGATAATCTTTTATGTGAATTCAGTTGACTATAGGGACATTAATTACATACAGAAAAATGTCTTCTTCTCCTTGTAGTGTAATCACAGGAGAGCTCTCCTGGTATATTTACAAGCTCTCTCCCACTCTCAAGGAAAAGGTGGTGTAATGGTCATTTATTTACTGCTAATGGGGCGAGAAGCATCTTCCCATTTCCTCTTTTAGAAGGACTTCAGGAAAGGACACAGCTAGAGCAGTAACTTCCCCTCCTTCCCTTTCCCTCCTCCCCCGCTTTCCCCTCTATCATTTTATCTTTGCACTACTAGGTATGAACCCAGGGTCTGGTATACGTTAGAATAGCTACATTCTCTGCCCCTACTGTCCCTACTTTTATTTATTTTTGAGTAAGACACAGTGCTATTGTAGCCCAGGCTGGCCTTGAACTCCTGATTCTCCTGCCTCTATCACTCAAGTGCTGGGGTTATAGCCATGCTCTACTACCATATTTTCTTAATTGTGTGTGTGTGTGGGGGGGGCTGCTGCTCATATTGAAGGTCAGTGGATACCTATGAGATTTGGTTGTCTCTCTACCATGTGGGATCTGGGGATCAAACTCAGATTTTGAGTATTGTGAGAAAGTTCTTTTATCTGCTGAGTCTTGCACCTTCTGCCCACCCCACCCCTTTTGGGGCACAGGGTTTCATTGTGAATCAGAGATATAAAGAATGCTGTTGTGGCCGGGCGTTGGTGGCACACGCCTTTAATCCCAGCACTCGGGAGGCAGAGCCAGGCGGATCTCTGTGAGTTTGAGGCCAGCCTGGGCTACCAAGTGAGCTCCAGAAAAGGCGCAAAACTACACAGAGAAACCCTGTCTCGAAAAACAAAAAAAAACAAACAAACAAAAAAAAAAGAATGCTGTTGTATAAGCCATAGAATAAGATGACTCTTAACGTAGCAGGTAGGGTTTTGTCTCTAGAGAAGGAAGGTTGAGTTTTATGTCATTTTTAGTTACAGTACAGCACCACCCTTAAGTGCTCCCCTCAGGTTTTCTGTGGATTCTATTCTTTTTTCCTAACTTCCTCCCTCCCTTTCTTCTGTGCGTATGAGCTGGTGTGCGTGCTGTGGTATGTATTCAGAGATCAGAGAACTTGGGAGGATCCATTCCCTTCTTCGGCCATCAGGTTTCTTGGGATTAAACTCAGATTATCAGGGTTGGTCGTAAATTCCTTTATCTGCTGAGCCATTTTGGTTGCCTTTGAACTCTTTTCAATGTTTCTCTTTATCAGTCAATATTTGAAAGAAATCTCAAATCCATGTCTCCCTTTCACGTTTGATTTTTTTTTTATTTTAAAAATTTAACTTTTATTTATTGCGTATGTGTGCCACATTCTGCATGTGGAAGTAAGAGGACAACTTTGGGGTTTTAGTTCCTTCCACCATGTGGGACCTGGGCATTGAATTTAGGTCATGAGGCCTGGCAGCAAGCATCTTTACCTGCTGAGCAATCTCACTGGCCTTTTCCCTATTTACATTTTTTCCCCCTGTTTTGAGATGGAATCATGCTGATTTTTCCCAAGTTGGCCTGGAACTTGGTTATTTATCCTAGGTTGGGCCAGGAATTTCAATCTGAATCTTTCTGAATGCTGGCATTACAGATGTGTGCCACCGTGAACAGCAGCTGCTAAATTGGGCCTCTTTTTTTTTCCTCGTTCAATGCTGGGAAAGCCCTGTCTGCTTTATAGAGGACGTTGTTTTGTGCTGTGGGTGGAAATGATGAGCCAGTGAGTTGCTCGACTATTTCTATGGAGTTTTACTATAATTAAATACGTATAGTAATACCTTTTTTCTTGCTGGATGCTAGCAGTTAAAAAACATTTTACATTTTAACTAGTACAAACATACATATAATACATACAACTGAAATAGCAGATCCTTCATGAAATAATATTTAACCTTTGTGAAGAGCACTTTATTTCTACTTTTTATTGAGAATGCTGGTTACAACCTAACAAAATGGTAAGACTCACAGTAGCCTTTGTTGAATTGTAATCAGGAAAGTGCAAAGTACAACTGTAAGAAACCAATTTACTTTCATCAAACTGAAAAACATTAAAAATTTTGATGATAGCATACGCCAGTGAGATAGTTGGAGAAATTACATTAAAAAACTATTCTTGGGGGCTAGAGAGATAGCTCAGCAATTAAGAGTACTGGCTGCTCTTCCAGCTTAGATTCCTAGCACCCACATGGCAATTCTAGGGGATATGCCACCCTCTTCTATCCTTTGCTGGGCACTGTGCACATGTGATAGACTGAAATACACACAAGCAGAATGCTTACATAAAGTTAAAATAGGTAATTCTCTTTAAAAAAACTTTTTTTTTGAGTCTTACTATGTAGTTCAGGCTGCCTACAAACTCTAATTGAAACTGGCTTAAACTAATGATTGCCTTGCCTCAGCCTCCTGTGTGCTAGTGTTGGAGGCATGTGTCACCATTCCTGGCATTACAACTTTTGGCTGGAGTTTAAATTGATAATATTCATTGTGTGAGGGTTTTTGTTTTTGATTTATTT